CAGGAAGATGCTCTCCATGCTACGGCCCACCGCCACCTCGTGCAGCTTCACCACGTTCTCATGCCGGCACTTGAGCAGAATGGCGATCTCGCGCAGACCCGAAACCGGCAGGCCGTCCTTCTCCTTCTCCATGCGCATCTTCTTCAGCGCCACGATCTGGTCGGAGCGCGTGTCGCGCGCGCGGTACACCACGCCGTACGTGCCCTCGCCGATCCGGTTCAGCTTCTCGAACTCGGAGACGAAGCGGCAGCGGCCGAGGATGTCGCGCTCTGGGATCTCCATGGCGCGGCCCGTCAGGAACGAGGTGAGCGTGCCGCTTGCTTTACGCTGCGACTGCGCCCGCGCGTCTGGGCCGGCGGCGAACTGCTCCTCCATAGTCGGTTGGCAGCTCGTGCACCAGCTGGCTATGCAACAACAACACAACTGACAGCTGACTTGTATGTTTGGCAGGAGAATGTTGCTCAACAAGACACAGGAATGCATATATGTCTATGTTTTGGGTGCAGGCATTACAAAATAATTTGACTCTAAGACATGCTAACTGGGAGGGCCACAAAACGAAGACTTATGTACAGCTCTGTATACAGCAAACAGACAAATATCTGTTCCAACTCCTATGACTAGACTACTGACCCATCAGGCAAGGTTGTTAAGGTCATGAGGACTTTACTGCGTACTTATCTGTTGAGGCTATCTGGTGTCACCTGCCTGTCACCCTGGCAGGCACCCTGGCATGCACCAAAGGGAATCAAACACCAGGTACGGTCAATTTATTTCTTGGTAGGATGAATAGTAGCGTACACATCTTTGTTACATAACACCATACACAGCTACCTGGAGAACAGAATGCCACCTGCCACTGTCCTGTTTCAAGAAATTGGTAATTTTGAGCAATAAGACTCAAAACAATTTTCAAGACAAAGTTATGTGGAACAATTTGTCCTGGCATCTGGATTCCATGCATGCAGGCATGAGTCTCACCGCATCTATGGGACATAGGCATCAACTCTGTGGATGAGTTTTTTACACACTGATACTACACTTTCGGATAGTGTTCCCAAGCCGATCAGGGCCAGTAATACACCTGTTCTGGAGCTTGTATCTTGGGTTCATGTCCTAGAAACCTGAAGTATGCAAAATTTACCTTTATTATGCTGTAACAATGTGGTTTATGCTTGTGTGCATGAGCACAACATGTATGTGGATTATGAATCATGTGAAATATTATAAGCGTGCATATGACTTAAAACTGAGACATTCAGTGACCCCCCACACAGCCTTAAACATACACCAATCATCGATTGCTTTCCTATGGACCCAGTCCTAGTGAGTTACAGACTGAGCGCCTGCTTAGATCCAGTACACTACGAGTTTAATTAGCATTACCTACCTGTTCCTGTTCTCGATCGCCGGTCCAAAACTACCAGAACTCTCGTATGCAGATTCTGTTCTCGTTGGGAACTCTGGTTTCAAATCTATTAAGATTATAAGACATAAGCTCGCTACTGATTCTTCAACTTCTCTTTAACGGCCGCCCCAACTCCGCCCCGACAGCGCAAGTGGAGCATTTTCGCGGTTCTCGCTATACCAACGTGTAGCACCGCAATGCTACCGAACTCTTCGTCGGCGCCAGGATTGTCCCGGGCGCGGCATAATGAGTCATTCAAGCTACCAACTGCCATCACGGACGTATTTTTGCATCCAAATCGCAAGATATTTTTCCTGACGAAAATGACGTCCTAACTGGGTCCTTTGCCGGTCAGGACCCTCATCACCGAACGGTGGACCCTCCAACACAATCTCACCATGAGCTCGTTGAGTCGAGCTGAAGCACATGGTCCAATTATGGGACCACCTGGGGCGGTCAGGGATGTTGTTGCGCCAATGAAGGTCTCTGCGTCGATCCCGGGCCAGCTGAGCGGGTCAGCAGGCCTCCCGCGTCAGGGCGGAGACCAATGTGATGTGATGTATCCCTCTAAAGTTCTCCGAATCGACCAGGGGATTCTGCCTGGTGTCGCCAGAATGGCAGCCGGAAGACACTCCGCGGTGGAACGGGATGGCCCGCCATCCCTTGACCGGGAACGACATGCGTCCCTAGCGATGCACTCAAAGGACCCTTGCCCAGCAAGAAATGGAGGGATCCGCTAGTGTTGAATAGAGAGGATCGAAATTAGTTCAAAAGCGAACAAGTCCATCGCATGCTTGGCCCATAGCGCTCACTCTTTTGCAAAATCGATTAGTGAAACCAATTACACCAGAAGGTGTTAGCATGCGCGCCAGAAATATCAGGAGCAAGGGCAGCGGTGGTCTGGGTTGCAATTTCCGTAAATCCGAACGGCGTTGGCCACTGCAAGCAACATCAGGCGGCGGGCGTCGTCCGCGCGAGAACGGCCGTCGTGAAATAGTACTTCCTGATGTCTTTCAAACTTAATTCGTACCTTTTAAAGACTAGACTGGTAAATCTTTTTCATCTTTGGGGTTGTCCTCTGGGCAGATTAACAAGTACAGCTGCACGTAAGATGGAGACCCTCAGAAGCCTTTACTCTTCCAGGCGAACCACCAGATTCCAGCACCACTTCGCGGTGCCGTGAAGACCAATCCGTTCTTATCATCAGTCTAAAAATTGCGTCGTTGAAATAGACACCCGGCTAACTTCTAAATGCATGGTTTGATGTCCTAAAACGCTAAAAGTTCCTCCCGTCAAGAGTGCCATCATTTTCGTCCACTTATTGGCCACAGCCTGATGTTAGCCGCGGGCCATCGCTCCGTGGTCTACGGAGACTGCAACGCCTGGCGTCGAGCTTTTTGTCTCTCAAAGTTTGCCAACGCTCATGTTTGAAACCACGTTGCATAACTTGCATCATTTATCTATTCTAACTGAATTTTAAGCATCTCCAGAAAACCATGGCTGGGCCATATTAACGCGAAATATTGATCCGCTTCAACCTAATATCGACATTCGGAGGGGTCCCTTATATCTCTTTAGAACCCAGCTAGAGATGCTAACAAAGCTTCTGAATTCTACCGGTTTAGAAAGAGTCCACTGGACCGTCGTAAACTGGAGAGCGCCGGCAACTTATTTCATGCAGTCGTGTAATGCATGCTTTTCACTTTAGGAACGATAAGGTTCAGGCAAAATGTATTTGGCCTTATCTTTTGGGTTCTATCCTTGTTATAGGAGGAAAAATGAAAGCTATCTAAGAAAAGCATGCCTGCATTAACAAATGGGCCACTTCCGTCGATTATTTTTATTATTAGGGGACCATTTCTCAACTCTGTGTCCCTTGCCGAAGCTCTGGCTGCGCGCCTGCTAGGCAGGTACCGTACCATTTGCTCAGGGGCTCCGCCTCTCAATTGGCTGCCAGGAGGTGGGCAGCGCAGCCACCTAGTTCGTGGTACATTAATATCGTACTCAACATGGTGGAAAGAGATCGGTATCTAGAGCTGGAACAAGGCATCTCGGTATGGGTGTCCCACGTACCTTTACTCCGATTGTGCAGCCAATCTCAGGGGTCAGATAGTGTCAGAGTTGAGCCGCATTATGGGGATCCAGAAAACAAGCACAGCTGCGTTTCATCCACAGGGCAACAACCGCTGTGAGAGGGTCAGTAGCGCCATCTTGGAATGCTGGCCAAGTATCTGTCAGAGAATCACGACCAGTGGGATAAAGATTTGCTCCTACCTGTGCTCGAAACCGCGCTCAGATCCACAAATCGTTGCACTGCAGTCCCCTCTTCACGATGTCTGGTTGCGAGCCCAGGCTACCCGTTAATGCGCAGATAGACCCGCCGTGTGTTGCCCGCTCCGGGTCAGCAGCGCTGTATGTAGACGAGCTATGCGCTGGGCTCCGTACCGCCTACCGTGAGGCAATACGCATTTCTGATGTCAGACACCGGTAGAACAAACGATTCTATGAGCGTGAGCTAAACTCATTTGATTACCACGTCGGTGACCGGGTTATGCTTTTTCGTGGCGAGTATCGCGAGGCGAGGCGAGTATCAACGAGGCCTTTTTCGTGGCGAGTATCGCGAGGCGAGGCGAGTATCGCGAGGCGAGGCGAGTATCAACGAGGCGAGTAACATAAATTCCTTAGGCCTTGGAAGCCGGCTGTCATTGTCGCCAAGCGGGGTGACCTGAACTACTGTGTGAGGCTGGAGGACGGTAAAATGCTGTGTGTTGCTACGGCTTCTAGTTGAGGTTATAGGGTTAAGGTATGCCTGTGGGCGCCTGCATCTGCGGAAACCTTGGATTCTTCCATCATCTTACGCTGTTAGACACCTGGTCGCATCACTACCCGTCCGCTCTGTTGAGCGTCTCTGGCTTGGTGGCTGAAGGGTCTTCAGCTGCTAATTTTGCGTGTATAATGTGTGTTGTGGGATGAGACGTAAGCGGTACTGATGGTGCAGTCGAACTGTGTCTACGTCACTCTGTTTGCGTGTTTCTGTTTGCCGAGCTGATTTTGTGTTTCCCCACATGCTGTCTTGTTTGTTACCTTGCGAAACATACGTTTCCTGGTCCCCAAGGACGTTGCAAAAACGATGCTACCGACTGGGCCTTCTCTTTCAAAGGGGAAAAGAGTACAGTGGGTTTGCACAGCTGCCTGCGTGCTGCTGTCTGTGTTGGTGGTGCGCTTCCTTGTTGGATGCTGGGCCGGCCAGCCTGGCCGGTCCGATCCGGTCCGGTCCTGTTCGATCCGGTCCGGTCCGGTCCGGTCCGGTCCGGTCCGGTCCGGTCCGGTCCGGTCCGGTCAGGTCCGGTCCGGTCCGGTCGGCCCGTGCCGGTCCGGGCGCCGGCTCGGGTCACCTTGCCCTGCGCGTCGCGCCGGAGCGCAGCCGTGCGTGGCGCGCGGTGATCGGTCTGTGACCACGTGACCCTTGTCGGGGTCGGGTCGCCGGCCCGCGAGGAGCGGGACCGTTGGAGCGGAGCCGGGCGAGTGCGTGCGTTACCGACATGTCGGCGTTCAGCTGAGCGGAGGCTTCGTGTTGAGTGCATCGCGAGCCATGCCTTTAGCCAACCTCGGCCAGGCTTATAGCAGCGTGCTGTCCTACGTCACAGGCACTTCGTAATATAGTTGAGTTTTTCTCCCACGCAGCGGTTGCGCGAGCATCTTGAGAGGTTTCCCTCGCCAGTCCTCAGAACTGCCGACCTAGTCCCAGCTCTGGGGCCGTCCAACACAGTCGCAGTGCACCAGCAGCCATTTTGTTCTCTGCCGGGCGAGTCGGACGCTGGCGGGGGTTCGAGACACGCCAGTTGGTCCCGTCTGTCCGCGGGGTGAAGGTACCGTGACTAGTGCCGATGGGCGGGTGGGGGAGGCACCGGGCGCGATGAGGCTCCGAGCCAGAGCCGACCTGTGGCTGCTGCTGGCCCTCGCAGCCGACGCAGGTGAGCGGGCCGAGGAGGTGGTGCCGGTGCGGGCGTCAGACCGCCGGACGACCAAGAGCGGGTGGTCGGCTTGTTCGTGTGTCAAGTTTATGCAGGACTCGAGTCTGATCTGCACCTAAATCATGAAAATCAAATAGCTGTGATGCCGCGTGAAATTTTTCCTGTAGCCGAGTAGATGATGTTGGCTGGAATTCCGAGCAGCTGCGAATCTTTAACCGGATCACAGAAAAAGATAGATCTCTAAGATCCTCAGACTCTGGATCTGTAGGCCAATCCTGGTAGAGCCGTGGACCGCCAGCCGCTATGCGGCAGCAACTGTGGCGTACCCGATTCTAGGATGTGAGGCAAACAAAATTTGTTGGACCACTCTATTCACCAAAACTTGCGGAAAGTTCTGTGTGGTTCCGTAATGCACTTGTGATAATTAGTTTACAAAGTGGGAAGTTGACGCGCACACCACCACAAACATCACTCAAGGTTGTTTTGCTGGCGGAAATCCCCCCCCCCCCCCCCCTGCCACAACCTCACCAGAGTCGGCTGACCACGCCTGCAGAGGCGCCCGTCCGCCGGTGCCAGCCGTCCCTCTGCGGGAGGTAGGGCGACCGCCCGCGGACGGGGCTGCCTGGGTGGGTGAGCCGCGACCCCCCGCCGCGATCGGCGGCGACAGCGACGGGCCGGGCCGCCCGCCGTTATCATAACAGTGTGATGACGAGTAGCATGTTGAGATCAGATCTCCGGGCTTCAGAGGAGATCGCGGTCTCCGTGCCTCAGCTTGTGGAGAGCCGGACGTGAGACCACCGTGTGTAGGTCATTTACGCTCACGTCGCAGAACTGCGCTAAAAGGGGTTCGTCTGTGAAGGTCAACTGCCAGCTGGCGGAAAACATCAGGTTGGCAAAGAATTGCCTTACACGGTGTGTCATAAAATTTGTCCGCAAAGATGAACCGTTCAATCGGAATTGCCTCATGGGGCGCTGGAGTCACCGTCGGGGGACTCGATGAAACACACACACACACACACACACACACACACACACACACACACACACACACACACACCACACACACACACACACACACACACACACACACACACACACACACACACACACACACACACACACACACACACACACACACACACACACACACACACACACACACACACACACACACACACACACACACACACACACACACACACACACACACACACACACACACACACACACACACACACACACACACACACACACACACACACACACCACACACACACACACACACACACACACACACACACACACACACACACACACACACACACACACACACACACACACACACACACACACACACACACACACACACACACACACACACACACACACACACACACACTATATATATATATATATATATATATATATATATATAAACTCCATCTGCATCAAAACCACTCATGACTGAAGGCGACAGTGTAGGTTGTCAGCTGGTTCAACAGTCAATGTTTGTCATTAAGGATGATTGTAAATCGTAATTATCATTCTGGCTTTATCTGTATTTGTACGACCAGAAGCGGCCAGATAACAGTTTCGAATATCTGAATCATTGCATATACATGGGGTTGCGCTTGTTTACGAATGTTTGGCGAACGTGGCATTTACACTCATGCTCGACTTGGTCTGCATATAATCGCTTGGTGATAAAACTCAGTAGGCACCTCCGTTCTTTTTCGAGGATAGTCATAGAGCGAAAAGATGCATGTTCAGGACATTTCCTACATTTCTATGCCTATGTATTAATTTTAAATTTATGTCGCAAAAACTCAGTAAACTGTGACGGATCGAAGTGGGCCATTCCCAAAATCGCTGGAAGCCTCACTATTTTCCGTAATTACGATCCATAAAAGTACAACACTCACTCCGCGCTGTGCGTGCTCGTTCAAACTCAGTCCCAACCTTTTGAATGCATGCTTTCCGAGATCAGAGTTCACATTAGGCAATGCTTGTGGCGTTAATCGTCACTCACCTTTCTTTCCAATTTCCAGTAATCTACGTAAATTCCGCGTGGTATATATGCTTCGGCACCTCAATGGGTGCCTCGCAAGAGCCCGCATTAGGAAGCTCTCATTGGTCAGCCGCATGCGTGACGACATACGACAATGACGTCAATCATAGGTGTGCACCATGCCTCATCTGACGGTGTGCTGTTGCAGTGCTGGGTCAGCAGCAGAGGTTCCGCGTCCGCCCCTTCAACACCAGCGTCATTGAGGGGGAAAGCGCGACGCTGCGCTGTGAGGTGGACCATCAGGCCGGTAGGCTACAGTGGGCCAAGGACGGCTTCGCCATGGGTGAGTGTGAAGCCAGTTGCTCTTTCGTTGGCGCAGGGAAACATGTTGCGATGCATACCTAGGAGGGTCGCTAAGTGCTTCGCGAATGATTCTGCAATATTTTGCTTAGTACTTGCTCGGTGGGAGGCGACTTAAATCACTTTATCATGGCAGTATTTGTGTGCATAACGTTGCAGTGGAAGAGAGTGCAAAGGTGAAGACATTTCCGATGCTCTTGATTGTGAGAATAAATACACCCGTGGTTAATGCGCCTGTGGTAACCATTGCGCGTTTGGAAAACCAGAGGTACAGGTTCGCTTCCGGTGATGACCCCCTTCCTGCCAGGGTGAGACCCCGGCGACGCCACGTTGACTCAGCAGCTGAGCGCGTTGTAAATGACAGCAACCTCATGGATGCAGTAAAGATAAAAAACTTTGGTAGAATGCAAATTTTTTATACGATTTTTCTGAGTAAGCATGAGAAAATGTGACCAGAGCTCAATGGTCTAGTATTGCAGAACTTCGAAACTTGTTCGCCATGGTTCCAGAACACATAACCAAATGAGTTTAATCCAATGCCATGTCACTGCAGCTGAAAACCCCAATACGTTTTGCCGTTATTCCCCTTTTATGTGTTAAAACCCGAACAGCCAACACTCGAAATACATAACAGTAGCACGTCTTTTTTATTACTCGCCAGGGTTGAAATAAAATTTACCGAAATGGTATTTAGCTTGAAACTAATTAGGAAATGTGTTCATCGCTCAAACACTAGAATGCCGAAATGGAATGCAGGCGAATAGGAAATCATTAGATGATCAATTAACGGAATGCTTTTTCTTCGACCAAGTGTGGATGATGAGCGAGAATTAGACAAATATAAATCCGTCGATCAGCCAAACAGCCTATTTCCTTTTGTATGAATGCATATTGGAAAGTTAAAATGATCTCAAGTGATAACCTCCGCAAACCATGAGGGTTTGCCCTTGAAGGATGTATGCTACCTTCGTAAAATTGTCAAGCATTGTTAGATCAGACGCGCCCGATTTGATCGGTAACACCAGCTTTTTCAGCACCAGTTCTGGCATGACTTTCGCTTTCCAGAGCGGACCTGCATAGACCGCCTGTCTTTCCGTGGGTTAATAACGAGCCTGGGCATACGCTCGACTTCCGGGCCGCTGAGGAGCCCGCCTCTACCAGGCACCAACCATTTACGAACCCAGCACGGGTTCCTTTCAAAGCGTTCTTGCATCACACATCCTTCATGCTTTCCTTAACACCGCTGGGCATCTATCTCGTAAACAAACGGATGTAATTCACATCGATTGCTTTTCTGCACTCACCAGCGTCAATCACTTTCTTCTGCTTCTGAGGCTCCGCCATTCATTTTGCATCACTGGTCGCACGCTTAGCTGGCTGGGGTAGTGCTTGAGCAACTACTCACATCGCGTAGGGCAAGCAGTCTGACTGGATTCCAGTGCGATCTGGTGTCCCGGAAAGCAACATCCTGGGATCGTTACTGTTCGCCTGCCTTCTGGATGATGTTCCTGACCAACTGAGATTGAGTGCCGTATACACGCTGATGTGAAAACTTATCGCCGAATCGACAACGTAGCAGATTGTCTCACACTTCAGGCGGATTTGGATCACCTCTGTGAATGGTCCAAAAACTGGTGTCTGAAATTGAAGCCAGCTAAGTGCAATACCATCTCATTCACCCTCCGCACGTCACCTGCTCACTATCCATATGCACCAGACAGTTACTGCTTGAATAGCCGCCAGCAGATTTGCGATCTTGGCGTCCTCCTGGACACTAAATTCGCCTTTGCCAATCACATAGATCAAAATGTCTCAAAAGCAAACAGGTGTTGGGCCTTCTCATACGAAGCGTGCAAATGCCGTGGCGACCTCATCGGCCAGTCGTGTGGTTTAATCAAAAAGCTTTGATGTACTTTCAACGCTCATGTGGGACCCGCCATTTCCGCGAGCCATTTGCAAGTGTCAACACCGTGAAAATGGATTTGTCACACATCTGCCCATCGCCTGTAACCGTTTTCTACAGCATTCTCCCTCAACTGACTTTTCCCAGCCAACAAAATAATTCAGATCTGATTTCTTTAAGTTTGCTGGCACTCGCAGAACGTTCTTTTCATGACTGTTGTATCTGAGTGACGTAGGTGTGGGTGTGGGTGCTGGTGTGGGTGTGAGTGTGTGGGGAGAGGGGGGGGGGGGCTGCGCGTGCGTGCGTGCAATTAAGTTTTGTTTGTGTGTGCGTCGTGTATTTCTTGTTTTCAAAACTGGACTGCTTTCGCAATTGGGTTTTTGCCTGTGTGTGCCCTAAATAAACCTCAGTAACATTTCAGGCGTTGTCACTTTCACGTACCTCTTCCTCCCGCTAATACGAGAGTTCTTATGCTCATATTGGCGTTGCTGACAAATGCAATGGCGTGTTGTGGGCTTTTACGCTTTTTTAGCTGACGCGTCTGCTTGGCAGGCTACTCCCGTTCACTGCCCGGTTACCACCGGTACCGTGTGGTGGGCGACGCCGACTTGGGGGTGCACGACCTGGAGCTCACCAACGCGACCCTGGAGGACGAGGGCCGCTTCCAGTGTCAGGTGTCTCCCGACGGAGGTCAACCGGCCATCCGGGTGGACGCCTACCTTACAGTGCTCTGTAAGCTCTCAGGTGTACCGTTGGTGGTGATATAGCCAGGTTCGAACGCGGGGCACAACCGCTTGGCTCTGCATTCCGGGTGCACGCACACTCGTCTTGCAATATGTAATCATGCAGCAATTCAGCTCGAGCTTTAATCGGTGCGGTCGGTCGGCTTCTTTCCGGAATAACTATGTGACATACCTCTGACCAAACACGGCTTGAATTAAGCACGGGTCGCTCACATTGTTCCCACTTCAACACAGTGGAGACGGAAAAGTTTTTGGGCCGAACGCTATTGCTGCCATCACGAAGTGTCAGCCGCCCTCCTGACAGCCCCATGTCGGCAGAGGCCCCCTCTGTGCGGCTCCACCCTCCTGAAAGCCCCGTGCCGGCAGTGAGGTCCGCCGCTGTATGGCTCCGCCCTCCTGAGAGCCTGCTCACCCCGTGTCGGCAGTGAGGTCCGCCGCTGTATGGCTCCGCCCTCCTGAGAGCTTGCTCACCCCGTGCCGGCAGTGAGGTCACCTCTGTGCGGCTCCCCTCCCTCTGGCAGTCTGTTAACTCTGTGCCTGCAGTGAAACCCGTTTCTGTGCGGCTCCGCTCTCATCACTGGCTGCCCGTGCCGTCGGGTTTGATGCAAGTACGACACGACCAAAACATCACGCTCGAATGTGACGTCACTGGGGCTAAGCCGGCCTCTGGCGTGCTGTGGCGGCGCAACGGCGTCGACCTCGATCAAGGTCAGCGGGCGACTGAAGGTTGGCCGCCGGGCAGACGGGTCAGAATGGCCAGAGTGGACATGGTTCCTGCTTTGGAAGCGAACTGATTTCAGTCAGATGTCGAGTTAGACCACATTATTGAGCAGTTAACGAAGTGCCTCCTACACCACATGTATTGCATCGCCTAGGAAACTATTGAACGGAAACTAGGAAACTATCCCACGGAACGGCTTTAGAGAGCTCGTGAGTGCGCCCAGTTATCGGACTCTGCAAACAAGGCTCGGCAGTGACCATACGCGTATGGTGAGCTTCGTCCCCACCTCGGTCCGATATTGAGCGTGCCCTCGCTGGCGGCAGAGTCTGTGCACGAGGTCATGCACACGTCCTCTCTGCGACGCCGGAGCAACACGACGTCGGCCATATCGTTCCGGGCGACCTCGGCCGACGACGGCGTCGACATCTCGTGCCTGGCCCAGCACCCTGCAGTGGCGGAGGCCGAGCAGCGCCGGTACACGGCCAGCCACACCCTCTCCGTGCTGTGTGAGTATTCCCCGCTGTCGGTACGCCCTGTGTGAGTGCTCCCCCCGCTGCCAGTACGCCCTGTGTGGGTATTTCCCGCTGTCGGTACGCCCTGTGTAAGTGCTCCCCGCTGTCGGCACGTCCTGTGTGAGTATTCCCCACTGTCGGCACGCCCTGTGTGGGCGTCCGGTAGCCTCCCTTGGCTCCGTAAGTGTCAAAATATTGCCAGCCAGCCCCTTTCTGTGCCTTGTGTCTGGCTGGTTGGCATTGTTCTCTAGACCCCAGCATTAGCACGAAACCAATACTCACATTAATGCCTGTGTCCAGGCCAGTGCTTACTTCGAGATATGAAAGAAAATGAGCAGCTGGTGCTTCCTGATCTGCGTTAAACGGCACTTACATTTGTGTTTCGGCCATGACCCGGCATTTGCTCTCCATTCTGACTGATTTGTCGGCTAACACAAGTGAACAACAAACGAATGAAAGCAAAAGCACCCAGGTCCCAGACTCGAGCTAGGTATAAAAGCATATATATATATATATATATATATATATATATATATATATATATATATATATATATATATATGATACTTCCGATTTCATCAGTGGCTATTTCACCGTCTTGGCACCACTTAGATGTTAAACACATAGCCTGAGGACATGGTAGCTGCGCAATACAACGGAAACTTATCTTTACAGATCCGCCCGGCGCGCCCGCCATCACGGGATATACAGACGGTCAGGTGGTGGTCAACGGAGAGCAAGTGACCTTGACATGTACCTCAGAGGGTGGCAACCCGCTGGCCAAGGTCGTCTGGCTCAAAAACGGTCGCACTGTGGCATATACAAGTGAAACTGTCCGGGGGTCAACCGTCGCCCGGTACTCGTTTACCGCCGGGCAATCTGAGCTTAACGCTATCTACCGATGTGAAGCGTCTTCCGTAGTTCATCCAACACCGATGGTGGCGCTGGTGCGAATGGATGTGCATTGTAAGTATACACTGGGCGGTTACTTCACACAAAGCATTTTAAAATATTTTAAGGCATCATTTTTCCTTGAATTGTCATCAGCCTCACAGTCCGATCGTCATTTAGCTCTTTGTCTCGGACACGACCTCTCCTCATGAAAACAAGCGCGGGCGGTCCCCGACGTACCCGCAACGGCTGGTGTGTGACCCGCCCTGATCTCCGGTGCCCGGCTCTGCAGTCGGGCCTGAGCGGGTCAGGGTATGGGGGACGACCGAGGCGAAGGAAGGGGACACGGTGCACATGAGCTGCGTCACCTCTGGCAGCAACCCGCCAGCCAACATCACGTGGTTCCTTGACAGCCACCCGGTGGCTCAGGTGAGATCGGAGTTTCCATATATTGTTAAAAATTACCGACCACATCTGCCCTGTATTTGGCTGCTTTATCATATGCTTTGCACACATTTTACACACTTTAATTGTTACAAGATTTGTTCGTTTGCGGGCCATAGAATAATCACAAGTTTTGTTTTAGCGGTCGCTTGCGTGCTGAGTATGTCACGGGACGGAAACAACAGAAATGCATGCATGTTCAATCATAGTCAGGCTAAGTTCGCCTGAAATATTTGGTGCAAGCTTCCGCGTTTAGAAGCAATGAATTTACGACGCAGCCTGTCAGCGGTCTGGCCTGTAGTCGTTCTACCGCACCTTCATCACGCAGTGGACTCAATAGATGGCTTCTGGCTGACTGTTTCCTGGGATGGAGCCACGGCGTGGATCTCACCTCACCGCAGCCGCCGTATCCAGGCGAGCCACATCGTGCGTCTGGCGGCGGCCGGCGGCTGGACGACAGCCTCCAACATGTCGACGGTGGTGCCACCCGGCACCCGGCGCGACCTCCAAGTCTCCTGCCGCGCCTCCAACAGGGCCCTTGACGTAACCGAGGTCGGCTCGGCCGCCGTCTCGGTGCTCTGTGAGTGAGGATGACCTGGCATTTGTCTTTGGAGCTGGAAAACGCTCCAGGAGTGTGCATGTCCGGGCAGGGGACCGAAATGCTCGTGGGTCCGATATACTCTGTGGGTGGGTGTTATGTGTCTGTACATCTCCTCACACTTGTCCTGGTCAGTGGACGCCGGCGCACTCTGCCCCGCCGGACCACTGAGCGTGCCGTGTGGACCCCGAGCGTCCTTCTGCCCGGTCTGACCGCCAGCGTCCGACAGACGCGCCGGCGCCGCCTCGCATCGTACGCTCCGGCGCGCCGGAGCTGGGCCGGGAGCTGGCGCTGGCGCTGCGCCAGGGCCAGCGGCTGGAGCTGCTCTGCCGGGCGCCAGGCGGTAACCCGCCGGCGCGCCTCTCCTGGTCGGTGGGCGGCCGGCAGCAGCCGGGACACGTCATCGCTGCCGGGCGCAGCCGACTCGAATACGAGGTCAGCGCCGCCGACAACGGCGCCGTCGTGGTGTGTCGCAGCGACGGCGGCGGCGGCCGGCGCCACCTGCAGGACAACGCCACCATCACCGTATACTGTGAGCACGGCGGGAGCTTGCGCGGGTCCGTAAGCTTTTGGACCCCCGGAGGATGTAAGCGTTAGACCGGTGGCGTGTGCTTGATATGCGAAACAAAGAGGGGCTGCGGACCCACTGCTCTGAAAAGAAGCCTCTCTGGTGACGGTTTGAGGGTGTGTTTACCTCATAAGCAGTGCCTGGCTGTTAAGTGTCAGTAGGCTAATGTCCAGTGATCACCGCAGCGGAGGGACATCGGTTTGCTATTTGATGGTTGTATTTCGTGCCTGCAAATTAATAGATAGGGCTCTGGGATCACCGCCCAGTCCCCATCACGAGCTGGAGGCTCGAGTGTGCCACTGTTTTTGCAACATGGGCTTGATGATGATCGCGTTCTATCGTGTGCCGGAGCGATACTCTCGCCGCCTGCTGCACGATGTTAACGGCTGCTCACTGTCGTCCGGGCCGGGCGCCACTGCCAGCAGTATGATCAAGCCTAGCGGCGTCTGTTTCAGTTCCGCCGAGCAGGCTGGAGATCGCGGTGAGTCCGGACCGGCTGGTGGCCGGCGGCGAGGCCCTGCTGACCTGCCAGTCTCGGCCCTCGCTGCCGGCCGCCCAGCTCTCGTGGTGGACCGGCAGCCGCCAGCTGCTGGACCAGCTCCAGCGTGACGTCACGCGCCAGGATGGCGGCAACGGCGGGTCAGCACCGACGAGCTGGCGGGGCTGGCGGGGCCGGGTGGCTCGGCCCGGTTGTCACTTTGCATGCTTGGGGGCAATATTGGTGCATGGATAAAATGACCACAAGAAAACTAAACTTACGTTCTGCCCGGCCCCGATCCCCTTCGCCCAACCCCGATCATTTTTGGAAATGTTCGCGCCTCGGGTTCGACATGAACCGTTGCACCAGTTGACGTGACAAAAGACTGAATCAAGCTTAATCCAACCCAATCGGTCTGTTGAACTCATGAAATCCTGCAAATACATAAGCAATGACGATGCAAATACATCAGCAACGAATGGTATTAATTAACCCATTATACATATATATATATAATATATATATATAATATATAATTATATAATATATATATATAGATATATATATATAAATATATATCTCTATCTCTCCTCTCTCTCTCCTCTCTCTCTTCTCTCTCTCTCTCTCTCTCTCTCTCCTCTCTCTCTCTCTCTCTCTCTCTCTCTCTCTCTCTCTCTCTCTCTCTCTCTCTCTCTCTCTCTCTCTCTCTCTCTCTCTCTCTCTCTCTCCTCTCTCTCTCTCTCTTTCTCTCTGTATCATTAATCCATAATAAACCCATCGGCAAGATGCCATGTATAGGTAAATTATGCTACAGAAATGGGGACGAGACGAAAGTCACGGCACAAACGAGAATACCGCAAAGACTGCTTTAAATGACAGGTCAACGTAGGCCTTTCCCTAAATGTCATACATAACTTTGTCCCCTCCACTTCACTCGCTGGTGCAGGAGCCCACAGCGCTGTCACCGGCCTCGACAGCTGGTGCGGGTGGTGACGGTCTGCTGGCGTGGCTGGTGACGGGCTGCTGGTGCCGGTGATGACGGTCCGTTGGTGCGGGTGGTGACGGTCTGCTGGTGCCGGTGGTGACGGTCCGTTGGTGTGGGTGGTGACGGTCTGCTGGTGTGGCTGGTGACGGACTGCTGGTGCCGGTGGTGACGGTTTGCTGGCTCCACGCCACAGGTTCGTCAGCCGTTTGGAGCTGCGCCAGCAGCTGAACTGGACCCACCACGACGCCCAGTTCGTATGCAAGGCCGAGGTGCCCCGCATCTCCAGTTTCGTGCGGCAGGAGGTCACTCTCAATGTGCTGCGTAAGTTTGCCGCTGTTTGCCGCGCTGCTGATGCTGACTGATGCTCTGCAAAGGAAAACCGCTCGATGAAATCGCTGCTGTAATGTATAACACGCAAACCGCGCTCAGGACGCAGTCATCGAGACACACGAGGCTCAGATCCTCAGAAGTGCATCATGCCCGCCCCACAGACGCCCCTGTCTTCACCAAGCAGTACTACGAGGACGCGCTGGTGGTCGGCGAGTCGCGCATCATCAGCTTGGTCGCGCCGGCCAACCCGGCCGTGCTCTCCTACGCCTGGTCACGTGACGCCGCCGGTGACGTCACGCTGACGTCAGCGGACGGCGTGATGAACCTGACGTCGGTTGGAAGAGAGGACGCCGGCTGGTATCGGCTGGAAGCCACCAACGCACTCGGCTCCGCCACTGCCCGGCTTCACGTCGATGTCCTCTGTGAGCGTTTGGAGTGCGATGTTGGAATACATCCATGGTGTGAAGGCTCGCTGCTTCCTGTCACCAGGCCTGCACTTCGGCCCGCATTTCGGTCCCGGAATCTTGATGATGGGCACTGGCTTCATATCCATACGTTTGCAGTACAACATTTTGAATGGAAATATTACGGCAGCTGATGGTCGTGATCTAAGATTGTCGTATTAATTCCATTGAAGCGAATTTTATGGTTCAATATATGACTGAACTTCACAGCAGAACTCCTTAAGTCCAGAATTCAGCTGCACTTTCGTTGGAAGATCGTTTCGGGTCTCTCGCACCCCGCTTGGATTGGGGATCCAGTATCTGACCCTGACCTCTCCCGTCGTCGCCAGACGGGCCCGAGTCAGTGCGCGTGACGTCTGCCCTGGTGGCTCCGGGGCAGGACGCCGAGCTGCGCTGCGAGGCCGACGCCCACCCGGCGCCGTCGGACGCCGTCAGGGGAGCGCGCCGGCTTCGACGTGGCCGGCCGCGGCAGCGCGCGCCCCGCGCCGCCGGCGACCGCCTCTCCTCCCGACTGACCGTGCGGCGCGTCCGGCCCCAGGACGCCGGCCTCTTCATCTGCCGCGTCGACAACGGGGTCGGCCCTCCCGTCCTCGCCACGGCCGCGCTGCGAGTGATGCGTCAGTCTTCTGCACGGCAGCCCTGTCCAGGGGGGAGGTGTGGGCCCCGCCATCGGTCAAAAGCGGGGGATAGCGAGGCTGTTGAGGCCTTTCTCTCCATGCAATGCAACGGGCGTCATGTTGAAGTCCAGAAGTCCAGAGACTCCGGAGACTTCAGAGTCCAGAATTCCAGAGACGTTGGAAAGATGCACCCTCCTGGCTTTCTGTTGCGGAGCCATCGGCAGTGTACCTTACTCTCGAGGTGTATTGGTCTGGAGGAAGTTAGTTGAGTTATCCCCCTTTCGTGCGTGTCGTAATTATTATATGTTGCGTACGTGTGTGATCACATGTTCCTCTGCCTTCACCTTTTGGCTTAAGCTCCCAGGTTTCTCAACTCCTGCAGCCTTCCCCGATTGAGTATAACGGCCGAGAGGCCAGCTGCCGTGATCAGAGCGCGGGTTCCTTGCCGGTGGCCGGGGCCGGCTGTGACCCGTCATCCGTCTCCAGAATGGGCTGTGACCTGCCTGTCGTCCCCCGGCAGAGGCTGTGACTCGCCCGCTGTCGCCCAGCAGAGGCCGTAACCCGTCTGATACCCTCCAGCAGCAGAGGCCGTGACCCATCCTCCCTCCCCGGCGGAGGCCGTGACCCGTCTGATACCCTCCGGCAGCAGAGGCCGTGACCCATCCTCCCTCCCGGCGGAGGTCGTGACCCGTCTGACACCCTCCGGCAGCAGAGGCCATGACCCATCCTCCTCCTCGGCAGACGCCGTGACCCGTCTGATCCCCCCCCCCCCCCCCCCGGGGATAGACCGTGACCCGTCCTCCGTCCGCCGACAGAGCCGCCGCGGCTGGACAGAGGCGCCGTGCTGAGCCGAGCGGCGGCCGAGCCGGGCGGTGCCGCGCTGCTCAGCTGTCGGGCCCGGGCCGCGCCTGACGCCACCCTCGTCTGGAGCAGGGCCGGCAGGGCCGTGCCGACGGCCGCCGATGGCCGGCGCAGCGTCCGACTGCAGACGGTCAGAGCTGGGCCTGCAGCTGCGCGCGGCGCCGCTGCTAACAGAGAGAGTGGTCAGCGAGGGAGATCGGTTTCATCGAATTACGGACCGTAATATTTTGCATCCGGCAGTTACTGTATAGTTACGCTGTTCTTTTCGACATGTATGTATTTTCGTTATCGTCTCTTTAACGGGAAGGTCGGCTTGCTCCCGTAATAACAACCTAGTAGTAGCAACCTTCTCAGGACTCCCGTGGTGAAATACGAAAAGCGACATGTCACTTGACATTAAAGTTATTATCATTTGCCACTGGTATGTTTTTTTGCGCTTAAGCTTTTTCAGTTGGAACAAGACATCGACTGCCAGGCAAGGCGCATTCATTTAGATGGCGAACGATGCGCTGCGTAGTATGCATGTCACTTATACCTCACGCTCTCCCAGGTGGACGTAATGACGAGGGTCTCAGTGCTGGAGATCACTGACGTCCAGCTGGAGGATTATGGCGATTACGCTGTGCTGCCACCAACCGGCTGGGCTCCGACTCACACACCGTGGAGCTGGTGCTGCCTTCCGTACCGGACCCTCCCTGGACCTGCGGGTGCTTAACGCCTCCTCAGAGACGGTCAGCCTGGGCTGGACACCTGGGTTCGACGGGGGCTTCAGCCAGGTGAGACCCAACGTCCAGAACAATAATCGTAGACCACTCCAACTGGCAGTCATTGACGAGTTTTCAGGGGACGCAGGAGCAGGCACGTCGAAGGCAATTGGTTGTTCTCCGTTGCAGGCAATTTGACCGACTTTAAAAGGTTCCTTTGAAATGTGAAATATAAATCAGGCCACAAGGAAGGCTGATATGCAGATCGGCCAGGAACATGCAGAGGACAGCCAGCGATTTAAGATTCGCTGTCCATGGGCACAAATGCGGTGTTCGTCATCAAATCACCACATAGTTCTATTCTTGAGTCGAATTAGGCCGCATCAGTCGAAATCTGACAGCATGTTCTTCATGTTAGTCTAAAGCCGTTTGTTTGGCCCTGTCTGCATCTGTATTACGGACCCACGCAGTCACAATTCAATCTCGGGCCTTTCTCAGACGTTCCGAGTGAGATACGCACCGGTGCGGCAGCCGGCGCCCGAGCAGCACGTGCACGTGCCGCACGGTACGTACGAGGCCACCGTGCGCCGGCTGCGAGGTGGCACGCGCTACCGCTTCTCTGTGTCCGCCCACAACCGGCTGGGAGAGAGCAGGTCATCACTGCACCAGGTTTCCAGCACCGGCACAGGTGAGGTCGCCTGCACAGGTGAGGTCACCGGCACAGGTGAGGTCACTGGCACAAGTGAGGTCACCGGGACACGTGAGGTCACCGGCTCAAGTGAGGTCACCGGGACAGGTGAGGTCACCGGCTCACGCATATGACGGGTACGTGTGAAGTCATCCCACCCGCCATTGATATGTCTGACGGCGAGCGGTTGCATTCATTGCCGCGTTAGGAAGCGATTTGGTTGCTCGCCACGTTCAAGTGTTTTGGCCCACCCCAGTTTCTACGTGGTAGAAGTGTGAACGAGAAGCAAGAGTGTGACGTGCGACGGCTCCCATAAGCCGCGAACAGCTGCCCTTGGAAATCACCCGAGCTCAAAATCGTCATGGGACAGCGATTTCGTCCGCGTCGAGCTCGTGTAGCGCGGCACAAGTTACATGTCATCACCACGTGCGACGCGTGCTCTGACGCCCTGCCACGTGCGACGCGGCCCTTAACCACGTGCGAGTGTCGCCGAGTCCAGCTGCCGCGGCTGGTGTCACGCGTGCTGAGGTCTGCCGTGACCCCGGCAGAGCGGCCTGCGTCGGCCCGTGACCCGACCCGAACGCCGGCCGGGTCGCTCCGCCCACCGGGCCTGGCCGTCGCCGCCGCCGCAGTCGGCTCGGCGCTGCTCCTGCTCAACTGTCTGCTTGTCGTCTGCTACATCCGGCGCCGCCGCAGCAGGCAAGGTCAGTCGCCCGTGCGTCTTACGAAGGCAGCCGCTCGACACCAGTGCCTACTGGGCTGTGCTTCTTGGACGCTCCAGGAGTCGGATATCACAATGGTGTAAACTCAGGAACGATTAGATATTACGTGGTTGTCTAGGTTTCCTTCACAGTAATGAGATAACCCACCCTGGTGTTTTGCGTTGTAATGAAATGTTAGTCTTCTGAGCTCGTATATGCTTAAGCGACATGGGTCGCACCTCGCCCCACACCTGAAGCGGGCCTGCTTGCCTGCAGCTGGGAGCGGGCCGGACCTGAAGGCGGGCCGAGCGGCGCCCGGCCGGGCCGACTCCTTCAGCTCGCTGGCCGTCCACGGCGGACACGATAGCACGCGGGACGTGTGTGATGTAAGTCCCACCGGCTGCGGTTGGCAGCGCCCAGCCCGAACGGGCTCACAGTTGTTGCCGACTTCGCGCGCTTTTATGAATGTTCGAGAATGACAGTCCTGCTTACGTATGTTGAGTCACGTTTCTGTTGTGGAGGGATCCCCCCGAATCCGAATAAAAACTCGATGGTGTCACTCTGCAGACGAATGGGCAATGGATACTGTGCTATGTGTTGGTCCACGCGTACATTCCACATAAGTAGCGTACCTTCCACCACGTTTTTCAATGTCCAGTCAACCACATGGTTGTGCCGCATGCTGTGTTTGCTAACGTTTGCCCGGACCGTCTCAGGTGGCCACTCTGGACGCTGACGGGTGGCACCTGGCGGCTAGGGCCTCCCCGCCGCCGCTCTACGCCGGAAAACACCGTTCGCCTCGCCGGACAGGCAGCGCCACCGCCCCACGGACCCCCGCAGTGTAAGCGCGTCAGCCGCGCGAGCGAATGACTGGCCCGGCATCAAGTGGAGGCGGTTGTGTATTCATAGGCCACGGTGAATCAACCGGGCAGCGTAATACCATGTTCAATGACCGATGAACATCGTGAGCGCCCCCACCGGCGGCCTAGCACAACTTCATACAGATCCGCACGATGGCGGTGGAAGGTCTGCTAGTAGCCGGGACTGCCCCTGCCCCCCCCCCCCTCCACACATACGGATCAGAAGAAAATAATGAGCTTTGATGTTTTCTTAAAGATCCATATGAATATATCACTTCAGAGTGCCCGAGAGTGTGACCCAGACGGTCTCACTGTTGTCGTCACTGGCGCTTTACGACGCACTCAGCTGCTGAGGCCATATGGCGTTGCTGCCTCTCGCCCTGGCAGGAAGGGCTGACACCGCGGGGGATCGAACAGTGTGTCTCACCGACGCCACCCCTGCCGCAGACTCGGAGGGGGATCGAACAGTGTGTCTCACCGACGCCACCCTGCCGCAGACTCGGAGTTTTCGTCGGGGGCGCTGGACGCCAGTAGCGAGGCGGGCAGCTGCGTGACGGCCGACCTTCTGCCCTGGAGCGGACCCGGCCTGGCCAGCCTGGCCGGCCTGACCGGCTCCACGCCGCACCTGGCCGGTGGAGGCGCAGCGGCCAGCGCCGACGCGCCTCCACCGGCCCCGGCCTACTGCACCCTGCCGCGCAGAGCCCGGCTTCGCATACCCAGCTCGCTGATGAGTCTGGGCGGCGTGCCGCCGCCGCTGCTGCCGCCGGTGGCGGGAGGCACCGGCGGGGAGCGGCGAGCTTACCTGGTATAACCGGCACGGCCAAGGCTGAGGCGGCGGAGGCGGGACAGGCTGGGGACAGGGGCTGTGCTGGAGCATACCTGTGCGGGAGACAGGGGCACGTGTTGGTGGCGACTGCGCTGGCAGTGTGTGATGCGTGGGTGGAGACGGGGGCTTGTGCCGGTAGCGACTCGACTGGCCATGTGTGATGCGTGCGTGGAGGCTGGTGACGTGGAATCAGCGGCTCATGATATTTTACGAAACGTGTATCCGTGATCACGTGCAGCTGGATCAACGGAGCCAAGCTAAGCGCGCTGTCAACACCGCGCAGGACTGGAATGCGCCCGAGAAACATGGGTGGGATTTGAATGCAGACTCCGCGCTCGGCCGACATCGACACGTGGGCGACTCGTGGTAACATGTACATGTGCGTAACATGTCACGCATCCAGGTGCTGTAGTGCGCAGGCTGCCACTGTTATTTTCGCCGAAGTCAACGGCCGCCAAACGCACGCTGAAACGTGAGGCTGAGCTGTATCGAGCGTCGGTTGTCCCAGCTTTCGGCTGGGGATCATCATCACTGATGGAAAGTAGCGGGACCATGGAGCAGCCCGTAGTGCTGTACCATTGTGATTTAGTCTAGCTTACTTAGAGAATGACAACGGGTTATTGACTTGAGCTTGATGTGCCCAGGTTTGCCGTCAAAGCGTCAAATGCAGCGCGATCTCCGATGCTTATGTGCCTTTCAGCCAGTGCGAGGACGCCCACAAGTGCGGGTCTACCTCGAGGTGCCTACCCGCCGAGCCGATGTTGCTGAGCAGGTAACGCGCTGTTCCATACTGGGTGATGTGGACAGCCGTCGCGTGTCTGCAGCGTCCGCTCACACAGACCTACTCCGCCGAGCCGATGTGGCTGAGCAGGTAACGCCGCTGTTCCGTACTGGGTGATGTGGAGGGCCGCGTGTCCCGCTCACTCCTCAGACCTACTCCGCCGAGCCGATGTGGCTGAGCAGGTAACGCCGCTGTTCGTGCTGGGTGATGTGGAGGGCCGCGTGTCCCGCTCACTCCGCAGACCTACCCGCCGGTCAGACCGGGACTGACAGACAGCAGATGTCCAGCTCCCGAGGCACGAGACGGACGCACCGCGAGGCTCAAACACGCGCCGGCTGCGTGACGCGATCGAGCCTGAGAGTGAATGGCAGCGGGGCACTCTAGCTCCGGGCACGCCGCTGGCGATGGCTGACGGCAGAGGGCGCCCTGGCTCCGGGCACGCCGCTGGCGATGGCTGACGGCAGCGCACGCGACCAATTTGCCGCCAACGAGACGGCGAGGTTCGTGGCCCCTCGCGGCACGATAGTACCGTGACGGCCGTGGACAGAATGTGTCGGTGGTGCTGGTCCCGGACCTGACGGTGGTGCTGCGGTGGTGCGAGCCGCTGATCGCGTGATCAATGCGAAAAGCGATTTTCGTTCATGTGTGAAATCGGACGCTCGCCACTCACTAGTCTGTCTTTGATTGTGCGGAAGTATTCGGTCGGCAATACTTTGCACGCAGTGCCAGCATATTGCTGCATAAGGATAACTCCAGTCATCGCATGTTTTCAATGAAAAAAGAACGATATGTACACGAGAGCAACTCACATCACCCGTGGTCTACCGCTGTACACGGAAGGAATTCACAGATTATCCGTGGTCTATCGCTATCACTTGAATCAGATCACAGTGCACCAGGCCCCTCTTGGCACGTTTTTGCATTACAAAACTCTGGCTGAAATCACCACATTCGTCTCGCGATAAATACAGAACATTCGCCACACGATCTCTGCAGCACACAACACGCACGCCATCCCGCCGGCCAGTTCCAGCTGTCCGAAGGCACTCGTCCACTACATAATACGACCGGCACAAGCCGTAGGCGTCACGACTCCCCGGCAGCACCGGTTTGTCACCCTCCGCCCCGTAACGGTACCGTAACGTCACGGCCGGGCCTGTGGCAGGGCAGGACCCGGTCCGGCCCAGGTCAGAAGGCAAGTGACGCGATGATTGGAACGCGAGATGCCCGAGACGCGTCCAGGCAGAGGCGGAACTGGGCAGGCACACCCATCAATCTAGCTGACACAGCTGAGAATCCTAACAGGTAGTAACTGATCTACCATCCGCCGACGCCCTTGCCAAATGATCACCGCATAAACTGCGCGTTCCCAACTGAAACGCCTGAAGCAGCGTGCAAGTACCGACCACGTGCTTCGCTACCGACCCCCTCCTGCCGGGTCCCGAGTCGAAACGCGTCCATCACAGCGCTCTCAGCCGTAGGGCCGGGCTGTGGGCGTCCCTCACGCCGCTCGCCAGCTGCCCGGCGCCACGGTGCGCTGCGGTCGCGAGGGCTGGCCGCGTGCGCTGCCGGCCCGCGCCTACACGCGGTGTGTGACGCGCTCCCGCATCTTCTCCTGCATCTCCTGGCTCTGCAGCTGCTCCAGGGTCAGCAGCGAGATGCCCAGCTGGTCCTCGCGGCTGAACGGCTGCGCCATGCGCCGCAGCCACCGCTTGGAGATCTGCCGAGGAGGGGAGCTCGTCAGGCGGGCCGGACGCGCGCCGACACGGCTGGTCCCGTGTCGCACGCCACTCTCACCTCTGGAGACTGCGGCGGACTCGCGACGCGGCACCCGTGGCCTCATGACTGTACCGCAGTCATCCCGACGGCCCTCTCAGCTCGTGCGATCCACCTGTCGGCTCAGCTCCCTGACTGGTTTGGCTCAGCTCCCTGGCTGGTCTGGCTCAGCTCCCTGGCCGGTTTGGTTCAGCTCCCTGACTGGTTTGACTCAGCTCCCCGACTGGCTTAGCTTTCTATATACCTTTGAAGCCACTTGTTCACCTTGGCTGCCAAAGTATCATAACCCGATCGCAAAGCCCCTGTTCAAAAATTCGCTTCATTAGCGCCTGTCAACCCCCCCCCCCCCCCCCCCCCCCCCCCGACGTCGCGTCCGTCTCACCTGGACGCCCTCCTCGGTGCTGAGGTTGCACATTGAGTCCTTCAGGTGCTCCTGGATCCAGAGCGGCAACTTGGTCCGCTTGTCCGACCGCTGGAAGCGCTGCAACAGTCGACCGTGCTGAGCCACGCCTGACACCAAGACCATCCGGGACAAGACGCGTCCTCACTTGGTACCCAAGTGAATGGTGGCGCTGCATGCATCGAGAACTGGAGGGCTAACGGCCTAGCACCGCGCGATTATTCAGGAGATGACCTTTCATTCGTCCATTATAGAGTCACTTGAACGCTGGCATGTTACATGATGGGATGCCGTTAATAAAAGACATACTCACTTAGAGCGCTACGGCTCAGCGTGGGCATCAACTTAACAGCTGGGCAAAATTACTTAACCCCTCAGGCAGCACAAGACAGCAGGTCAAATACGTCTAACTGCTGAGCCAGCACCAGACAGCAGGTCAATGTACGGATAGCTAAGAAGACGACACTCTTACAGAGCACCCGAGACCAACCCGGGGCGGCCGCAGAGCAGTCATTTTCGACAGCGGCGCCCACCGCACGCCACTGTAAACCATTATCCTCGTGTCACCGATCGCCACACCGTCGACCCGACCTGACCCGACCCGAACCGACCGGATCCGACCCTATCCGACCCGAGCGGCACCTTGTCGGCGAAGACCATGATGCCGTAGTCGGTCTTGCCTCGCATCGCCCGGCCCACACACTGTGAGGCGTGGCGGATGGCGTCGAACGTCAAGAAGTCGTTCTCGCGGATCTGCGGCAAGGGTGAACAGCGTCACGAAACCGAAGCTGACGCCACGAGGCCGACCAGAGCCAGCTTAGAGGCGGACATGCGGCTGGAGAGCAGCGTGGACACGTTTAGCCAGATGAGTCGACGGACAGCGTCAACGGACAATTCCTGGGGCGTCATGCGAGCACGAGCTAACACTTCCCGCGGCGTCATGTGAGCACGAGCTAGGCTCTTGGGAACTTTTAAAGCGCACAAGCTCAGTCATTTAACTTCTACACACTGATTACTGGGACAAGAGAGGTGATCAATAAATATCACATGACACACACACACACATGGGGGAAAGAGCATGGGTGAAATGGAACCTGACCCTCTACAGCAGGAAGCACAATGACATTCCAAGTTAGTACTTCGCGATGGGATAAATTGTATCATTGTAACCAACCACAAACGTTAACAGATCCATATCGTCCTTTGTCTCGACTGTAACAACAACAATGAAAAGAGCTTCTGACGTCGTGAAATTTTCCCATGAACTCGAGCAGTAGCAGACACATGACATACACATAGCGACAGGCCACAACAGCAGACAGGCAAGACAAGACAGACACAGACAGGCAGACTGGCAAGACAAGACAGACACAGACAGACAGACCGGCAAGACAATAGACACAGACAGACAGACTGACAAGACAAGACAGACACAGACAGACAGACCGGCAAGACAATAGACACAGACAGACAGACAGACTGACAAGACACACGCCCGTTACCTGGAACGTGTCGCGTAGGTACTCGAGCCGCGCCTTGAGGATGCGCGACTGCGTGTACATGTAGGGGATGCCGAACATGAGCACGCAGCGACCGAGGTGGTGGTCAAAGTCGACGCCCTCGCTGACCTTGCCCCGCGCCACCGACAGCAGCACGGGCCCCGGCCGTTCTCGCACGCCTGCCGGCACGACCGTGACCTTGGCGTCAACTGGGCGGGGACGGGTCGGCGCGGGGGCTGGCGGCGGCCCGGCGGCACGCGGCTCGTGCGCCATCGCTCGCCTGACACGGAGGCCAGCAGCGTGCTTGGGACGTGTAGCGAGCCCGCGCAGAGAAAACGATGTGCTTTCGTTTGCGGGTAGGTGTTGCAACTGAGGACGGCAAACGCGAGGAGAAAGCGGGTGACGACGAACGCCGACCTTGATGAAGTTGAGCAGCGCCAGGCTGGTCTCGGCCGCGTCCTGCGTCTCAATGAAGAGCAGCTTGTGCTTCTGCAGCTGCGTGATGATGCCCTGGTCGTACCAGCTGGAGACCACGTTCTCCATGTACATGTAGGAGGTGAAGAAGCAGACGACGCCGTCCGGCACCACGGTCACCATGTCCACCAGCAGGTTGCCGTAGTTGCGAATCACGGCAGGGTCCTCGCGAGATTCGAACTTGGAAGAGATCGCCACCTGATCGTTGCCCTTTGTCACGATCTGAGGGCAGATATGGGTATCAGACCGCGGCGTATCGGTCCCTCCGTATCCCTCCGTAACAGAACAGAGCGGCCCAGCCGACCATACGTGTCCATATACTCGGCATCATTAGGGCGGGCCAACTGATGCCAATCTTGTTTCTATGGTTAAGTTCACTTATTTGACTTGTTGAGACGAACATATGTTACGGCTTCCTGTTTGGTTAAAACCCGAGAGAACAAGTATCAGACCAATCAGTTCCAACATCTCAGAGTGATTTCCCGAGGTCTGTTCGGTGCTGTCGCTCGGTCGGCGGCCTGCCCAGCACCAGCCGGGCCCCGAGCCAGCCCCGAGCCCTTGCTGCGCCGGTGGCGTGGGGCCTCACCATGGGCAGGATGCAGGGCCGCGCCAGCGTCATGGTGAAGCTGGTGACGATGACCGGGTGGAAGTCGAGGATCTTGGGGTACATGTCGAGCGGCGAGAGCGTGCCGGACGTGATCACCACCGACTGGTACCGGTCGAACACCGGCTTGATGGCCAGCGACGAGTCCAGGCACCTGGCGCAGCCGGCGCGGCGGGCGCGTCACACAACAGACACCTGGCGCGGCCGGCGCGGCGGGCGCGTCACACAACAGAGCGGGAGAACACGACCACAGACCACATCGGGGCTGGTGCAGCGCCGCGGACAGGCGGCCGCAGCGCCACCGTGTGTACGGTCAACACACCGAATGTGCGCCACACCCACCGCCGATGGGTGGCGACACAGCCACCGGCCGGTGGTAGCCAGGTGGCAGTCATTCCTCCCGAGAGGCGGACGGTCCGACTGACTGGAAGTCTAAACACGGCGACATCGCCACCGATTCACACCACAACACTGCCAGTGTAAACAAGATGCCAGACGGTGACGGTGGGTTATCATCTGCGCCGGATGTCGTATGTTTTTATTTTCTTCGCGACAGATTAAATCCGAACCTTTTGAGTGGATGGAATAAGTTCCGGGACGAGAGCCCATACCAAGCAGTGCTTATCGTGTGAGCCCTGACCACCACCATCCGATCGTGAAATTGAAGGATTCGGTGGCGAAATTTTAACGTGCCGCAACGCTCAGCACGGTCCGTCCAGCCCTCTGACGTCACCTGACCTTCAGCGCAACCGCTGCCACCGGCCACACCCGGCAGGGGCAAATAACGGGCGCCTAAAGCGACTCGAACTCACCCGCCACGGGTGGGTGGATCGGAAGGCAGACCTTCCAGTCGTATAATTACGTATGAAGTAACTCCATGCCCAAGCACCATAAGACGTCGAAAAATGGGAAAGGTTGCCGTCGAATGTATCCATTGCTCGGTGTACACAGTGCAGGTTAAAACGACACAGACATACCCCAGCGTGCTCGGATATCTAGCACGTGTGAATGATCTAGCAAAGTAGGAAGATTGTGCGCACATAGACGGTCCGAGTAAATCTCCTTCGAAATATTTGCCTGACAGCGGGTTTAGGCATAATGCGACATCACTGGAGCCAGTTCACCCGACCGAGCCCAACAAACGAGCCGGCTGCTCCGGCCAAGCCTCACCGAAAGTAGAGGATGGGGTTGTAGACGTTGGGCGTCTTGTCGTCCGACGGCTCAACGATGATGGTGAAGCCACGTGTGTAGGTGCTGACCAGCGTGGCGAAGTGCGAGACGAGCACGAGCGGCGACAGGTCGGCCATGTCCGTCAGCTCCAGCGTCCGGATCATCGAGGTCAGCCGCTCCGCGCAGAACCTGACAGCGATGCACCCATCACGTGACATGCGTGATAGCATCAACGGACGCGTGAGACACTCAGGGAGGGGGGGAGGGGTCGGCAAACGGGAAGATGCTAGACCTCAGGTTGGACCACGAGCTGCACATCCTGACAGGTGCAGACAAGTCAGACGATCGGTCACAGGCCCCGGGCCGACAGCAGCGGGCCGGTCGGATGCTCTGTACAGACCCTGACAGACAGGGACGCGTCAGACGCTGGCAGCAGAGGGCTGCAGGCGAGGACACATGAGACGATCGGAGACGAGCGCCACTTAGGGACTGAGGCGGGTCGGGAGAACGGACCGTCAGTATTTCAAGAGCCGGACGTTAATGTTTCACTGAAGCAGTGTCTGCCACTGCAGGCCCGAACTTCAACCACACACAGGCAATGCATTCGGACAGAGCTGGGAATAGAGCTTCTGCTCCATCTGCTTCCGTCCGTCCAGAGGCCTGACTTCGCACGAAGTCCCTCGCTCACCGCAGCGGCTTCCGATCCAGGCAAATTTTGTTGAAGATGTCCTTGAGAAAGCCAGCCGGCGACTCCTGGACCACATGCTGCACTCGCAGCCGCATCTTCAGGTACTCCACCAGGCGCTTCATGAAGTTGATGAAGTGCTCCGCGGTCCTGATGTTCCCCGGTACGGCCTCTGGCGAGCGATCACCAACATCAGCGGTGCGACCACTCCGTCCATCAGCCTACCGCTCGCAGCGGCGACTGTGGCCGACCAGCCGGGGGAGTACCGGGCCGGCGGGTCAGATCGCTCGAGCGCCGGGCTCTCAGTCCACCCCACGCTGGTCCGGCACGCAGCTGCAGCCCTGATGCGGCGTCAGAGTACTCTCAAACTGAAAACCATGCAAAATATGCAGTCCGAAAAGTTGTGTCATTGCGGCTTTACGACGCACCCCGTTGCTGAGGCTATATGGCGTCGCCTACCTCTCACCCTGGCAGGTAGGGAGGGTACCGCGGGGAATCGAACCCCGTACCTCTGGTTTTGAAGACGCGCAGAGGTTAACGCAGACGCGTTAACCACTACACCACCGGCACCTCGCAGGCCGAAAAGTAACAGGGGAAAACATACGTGAGTAACTCACGGCGCACACTTCTAGACGCACGCTATCCAGAGCCGGCCCACGCAGGAGCCGGGGCTGACCAGCCCGAGCTCTGCACAGTGGCCCAGCAGCAGTCAGAGCTGCAGGGCTCGTGTGCGGCGCCGGCCACAGCAGCGGCGGGCCGCGCGCCGTGCACCTACCCTCCAGCACCTGGTCGGGCAGCACCGGGTTGGCCAAGAGCTGATCTGTCTGCCGCTTCATCTGGGCGTCCCGCAGACCCTCCACCATGCGCTGGTACTCCTCCTGCAGTCGGTTGGCGTCCGTCTCCTTGATCCTGCGACGCCACGCGGCAAGGTCAGGCCCCAGTCAGCGACAGCCGCAAAACTGGGCCAGGCGCGCATTGGCACGTTCCCAGCGGGACGGTAGGCGGGTCTTCCCTGTTTTTGGGCGTACGTGCCCGGACTTGCCGCTTGCAGTCTAAATTACTGGGCGCAATTTCAGCAGCCTGAATTATCATTTCAGCGGCTGTATGGGCGCAAGCAGCTGAATTACTAGGCGAATTGCAGCTGAATATTCGCAGTTTCAGCGGTCTGAATTACTGGACGCAGTTTCAGCGCCTGAATTACTGGACGCAACCTTTTACGACAACGTGATCAGCGTGTGAAATAACACGAGGCAGGCAATATTTGTGCGGACTACAAAGCGCAAGAACCCACTTGTTAGTACAAATCGAGCGAGACAAAACAACACACCACACAAGCACGCACGCACTCACGCACGCACGCACGCACGCACGCACGCACGCACGCCGCACGCACGCACGCACGCACGAACGCAGCCGCACGCACACACACACCACACACAAACACACACACACACACACACTAACCACACACACACACACACACACCACAAACACACACACACACAACACACACACACACACACACACACACACACAAACACCACATATCCTTCAAAAAACATACACTCGTTACCACCGACAGTTCATATTGACCCGTGCAGTGCTGCTCAGCTGTGTTAAGCTTTGGCCTGGAACAAATAGCCGCATCGGTGGCAGCCGCGGCCGGACCGAGCTTGCCGCGGGACCCCGCCAGGCGGGTCCTCACCGGTGCCCAGCACGGCTGTGTGGTGGGCGTGACAACTGACTCACGGCGTCAGGACGGTCAACCTCAACCAGCCTCAGGCAGCGGGACTGATCTAGCGCCGACGCGACGCAGGGAGGCGACGATCCACAGGCCAGTGAGAAAAAACCGGGGGGATGTCTCATCACACCTTGAAGGCGTCTGTACGCGAGAACACAGCGTGAGTCCGCGTAGGCCCTGCCATCGGACGGCGCATGACACCCACAGCGCGGCGCGTTGCGACTGTGCGGAAGACGCCACAGCGGGAAGCAGCAGCGCCCCCGAGCGGGCACTCACTGGGCGATCTTCTTCTCGAGAGAGCCGATGTTGTTGGAGCAGCGCTCCAGCATTCGCTTGTTGATGTGGACGCTCATGCTGTCGATGCACACGTTGTCTGCCGGCAAATGCGCGATGCTGACTGCAGACACCGCTCATTCACAGGTTTCACATGCAACAAAACCAACAGTAGGTAATTAAGACTATGCGGAACGCAAATATAGTGGTATGAAAATTACAGTTAAGAAACAAACAACGATCGATGTAGAACGACATTCTGCTTATGCATCTGTCAACAACCAACAGTCCTTCATTTCAAATAAGATGAAAAGGTGCATGCAGATTGGAATGAAAGAAGCTCTCACCTATGTTATGAGCTTCGTCGAACACGACGACACTTGACTTCACGATCTCCTTGGACACCACCTCGGCAATCTTCGGATCCAGCAGGTAGTGGTAGCTGTACACGATGATGTTGGCCTGCTGGATCTGAAACAGGTAACCGAGCCACGTCACAAGCGGAGGGAGACAACACTTATATCTATAATATATCATATATATATATATATATATATAATATCTATCTATATCCAATAATATCTAAACCCGGGCATGGAATCACTTCATACCGAGCCTCACTGGGCCACAAAACCGATCCATCCACAATATCACCTCACGCCCACAATCATGCCACAGCGAGCCAAAAGCTGGTCAAGAACAACAAAAGTTATTTCGACACCGTCAAACTGCCTGCCACACAGCCTACACCCGGGAACAATGCACACACAACACCTTCCCAGACATCACCGTCGAAATGCCTGCCACACAGCCTACACCCGGGAACAATCCACATACAACACCTTCCCAGACACCTCTCCGTGGCTGTTCCCTGTCAGCGATGCGGGGCTCGCCCGGGCGACCACTCACCGCGCGGCGCGCCACGAAGTAGGGGCACCACCCGCGCGTGCGGCCGTACTGCTTGAGGTCCTGCAGGCTGTAGATGCCGGCCGGCAGCGCGACATCGCGGCCGTCCTGCTCCAGCTGCTCGAACCACTGGCAGGTGGGCGGCGGCGCGCGGCCGTCCTCGTCCGCCTCGTCGCCGCCGGCGCCGGACCAGCGGCGGCGGCGGCCAGCGGCGCGCGCGCGCACGTAGCCAGCCGTCAACGCGTACAGCGGCTGTCCACCACCTTGCCCTCGCGTTCCTGGCTCACCTGTTGGCGGTGGAGGAGAGGGAGGGGGGGGGGCGGTCATGTGGGGCGCGGACGGCCGGACACGGTGGGCAGGCAGGTGTTGGTGGGGGGCGTGAAGCCAGATTGTGCATGTCGATCGCAAGATGTACCGCTGACGTATGGAAGTAAGATGGACCACTGACGTGCAGAAGTAAGATGGACCACTGATGTACGGAAGTAAGATGTGCCACTGACGTACGGAAGTAAGGTGCACCGCTAACATATGGAAGTGAGATGTACCGCTGACGTACGGAAGTAAGATGTACTGCTGACACGTGGAAGTAGGATGTACCACTGACGTATGAAAGTAGGATGTACCACTGACGTACGGTAGTAAGATGTACCACTGACATACAGAAGTAAGATGTGTGTTAGTGTGTGTTATTGGGGCTTTACGACGCACTCAGCTGCTGAGGCTATATGGCGTCGCCTGCCTCTCACCCTGGCAGGAAGGGCGGGCACCGCGGGGAATCGAACACCGTACGTCTGGTTTCCCAGACGCGCAGTGGTTAACGCAGACGCGTTAACCACTACACTACCTGCACCCCTAGAAGTAAGATGTGCCACTGATGTACAGAACTAAGAAGTACCACTGACATATGTAAGTAAGATGTACCACTGACATACATAATTCAGATGTACCACTGAGGTACGGAAGTAAGATGTACTGCTGACATACAGAAGTACGATGAACCACTGATGTACGGAAGTAAGATGTAACACTGATGTACAGAGGACAGCTGTATCACTGACATACAGAAGCAAGATGTAACACTGATGTACAAAAGTCAGATGTACCACTGACATGTGGAAGTCAGATGTACTACTGAGGTAAGGAAGTCAGATGTACCACTACAGTACAGGAGTAAGATGTACCACTGACATAAGGAAGTAAGATGTAATGCTGACATAAGAAGTAAGATGTAGCAGTGCTGTACAGAGGACAGCTGTACCACTGACATACAGAGTTAAGAAGTGACACTGGCATGCAGAAGTAAGATGTTCCAGTGACACATGGATGTCAGATGTACCACTGGTATATGGGCATAAGATGGCGAATTAGGATGTGGTTGTCCGCTGGTATTCTGACTGGTTATGGCAAGCTGCATGGTGAACAGGTGGTATGCCAGGAAGAAACAACATACATATTACAACCACTCGGTTCTGAACATCCAGCACATGGGGGGCCAGATCATTTGAAACCAGTTGTTTCAAATCATCACCACCATTACCTACCTCCTCGTGAATGCACAGATTCTTGCGCGAGCTGATGGCCAAGCCGACCAGCTTGCTCTTCTGGCCAGACTGTTTCTCGATGAAGCGGTTCAGCTTGGCCAGCTCCTCCAGCACCTTTTCAATTTCCGGCACAGTTCGAGAGCAGTAGATGAGCTTTGTGATGTCCAGTGGTTTCTCCAGCATGTAGGACACGATGAGGGAGAGCAGGGAGATGGTCTTCCCTGTGCCAGATGGCATCTCCAGGACAAGGTGACCCTGCCAACACCCAAGTGAGATTGATAGCAGGAATTCACAGACCTATGCTATAGAACTGTATAACACAGCAGTGCTTCAAAACATTAAAATTGTTATTCACAGGCAAGGAGCAGCACCAATGATAATATCACCATGGCATTGATGACAATGTCAACATGCATGCACAAATGTAGCTTACAGTTCAGGATTGCTGAGCAGGTACCTCACATCAAAGTGTCCATGTAATTAAATCATGAGACTGCTTTGGGACTAACTCAACATGAACATAAGGACTGTTCACAGCCAACTTTGGGGGTCACTATTCATTTTCAGCCTGGTAAACACAAAGAAGAAAATAGAGAATCAAGCCATTGTGTGGATTCTGAATGTGGACCTACATTCCCATGAGAAACCCTGGTGTCAAGATCAAGATATAGGATCCAATTCATAATATTATGTGCCATTGGACAAACTTAATGGAGAGGAATCTCAAATAAATAATGACAATGACAGGACAGCAGTAAGCACAGCTCACAGCAGTCACTTAATCTGAACATGACTTACCTTGGCATCCAAACCCTTCTTGAGCTCCAACATGTATGAGAACTGTTCTGGGTAGATGTAGTCATAAGGAAAATAGACCAGAAGGCCATCCACATTCAGCCTGGAATGGAATGAAAGACAGTGAAATCCTTCCCAACAGATAATACTTAACAAATGACATGTTTTATGATGTTCAGGATATCATTTGTCATAAAATATGGAGGGTGAACAAAATACTATTCAGGTACATCAGATGCATTGCAGGTGCTCCCCACAATCATCCCATGATGGTGGGCATTGAGCTGATAAGCCAGAAGTGATGTTGTATCTAAAAAAACTCAAATATTACTGTCTTACCTCATGTTGAATTTACTTGGGTGCTGGTGTGTGATACTGCTTTGCTTTAACTTCTAACACATGACAACAAAAACATTAAAACTGCTGCTATTCTTTTGTTTTTCAATGCAAATTGAAAAATAATGGTCTTGATCGCACAACACTTTCACTTCACTTGCATTCCCTGAAAATGGGACAACACAGAGATAAAACATGGCTAAAACATTAATGGAGAACAGGGCTACTGTAGATATTCTTAGCAGGCAATTTTTCTTCAGTTTTTGCAAAGGAATCTGTGTGTGATCTCCTTGGTAATAGGAAAAATCTGACAGAAGCAGTCTTGTAGATCTGATGGCAATTGCAGGTATGGCAAGGGATAGCTTGAGGAAAATCAAGGTTAGTAAGGTTGCCACACCTGACCAATACATGGTAGTGCTGAATGAATGCCCTAATGCTTTGGCTTATCCCTCTTATACTAATAGTCATTGCTTCTGAGTAATGTGAGTAGCATGCAGCAAACATATAAAGCTTCTTTATTTCAAGGACAATATTCTGATCTGCAGATCAAAGCAGCAGTGTAGTTCCATGCTCAGAGGGATCTGCAGGTTCAGATGGGAAATAAGTGAAATAAATATAAATTTTGAGACTTGAATGACAAGGATGGCCCTTATAGTCATTCCACACTTGGTCCAGCCCCTCCCTCACCATCCCAATTTTGCTCGCAAAGCTAAGCCAATGCATATCAAAAATGATTCTATACATACCATTCACCTCCAATTCCCCCCAAAAGAGCTGATAAGATGGTAGGCATCAGTGATGATGATGAATGAGGTTTTAGGGCACGTCAACTTCTAGGGTCATTTTGCACCATGGTAGGCATTGGTCAGATCATCAGCAACATTTTAGGTTCATGGGCTCAATCTGTATGTAAATGATCACATATTATCCATTAAATAAATGTTACTTCAATGTGCATGCAGGAATGTGTAAAACCAATAAAAACAATCAGAAATAAAAAGAGGCATAAATCAACATGTCTCACCAAAACCCACCTAAGCTGCTGCAGCCCACAGGTGCGCGAAATCACCTGTATGGCATGAAACGTGGGATTCTTCCGAACCGCATGTGCCCTGGGACAAGTCAACACGCTCATGCTGATACAAATAGCTGAGTTGCATCATAGCTGAGTAGCTTTTCCAAAATCTTGGATAATCATGAAAATGTGCATAGCTCGCTGGCCCTTTCACGGCTACCGCCTATAGTTCTTTCAAACAATACCGGCAAATGATCACCCACCCATTCACCGCAGCACCCCTGCACACCAAACAACCTCCAACTCCCGCATGTAAGTTCCCCGCTTACTCCCCCGTGTGAGGCTGGCGCAACACTGCGCCAAATTGTCGTGGTTGTCAAGTTTTTGGTTATTAATTGCGAATAGTGCAGGGCGGTGTATGACGTCATCGGTATTCTCCCTCTGCGCCGCTCCAACACTTTGTGACCGAAACACGCAGGCATCCTCGGCGCTCTCGCTGTGTCACGAGATCGGCAAGGTGACAGATGTTTTGAGGTATGCCATCGAGCCCATTTCGTACAGAATTGTTCGAAGGTACAACGCTTGTCTTAACCCGGACATTGGATGCTTCCCGCCTGCCCCTGCAACCATTCCTCCAATATTGCGGCCCGTGGGACTTAATCCTAATCGGGGTTCTTTGCGTTAAGAGCACGACTGGAGACTATGCCGGTATGTCCTGTGTATGTTGGAACCCTAACAACGTTGTTGATATAAGGAAGTGGGCCAATGCATATAATAAATGAATCTTTCAGACTCGGAAAGCTTGGACCTCGCTCCGAGAAATGCTTCCCGCTATTGAGCTGGGGCCAGCTGTCTCAGGTCCACGGGCAGTTCCGGTACACAACCGGACAGGCCGGAAAACATATTCACTCCAGAATCAGTCTGCATTAAGTTTAACTTAATATTCTTATCTATCTCGGTAAGGCACATTGCTAATTGTAATTTTCGAAAATGGTTACCAAATAGGTCACCGCCCAATTATTTTCCGTCACAGAGGACGATTCTGCACTGAATCAAAGGACACTGGACGACTGGCATTTTTAACCCGTATGCGGCCGGAAAAGGGCGGAGGCATCAGCTCTGGCTGTACCGATGGCGCCACCTGTCCAAGCAGACAGCAATAGGAGCACTTACAAATGCCCCGACATTTAGCATGAACAGACA